GTGGGTGTGTGTGCAGCTGTGGGTGTGGGTGTGGTCGTGTGCTCTGGGATGTCTATTGAGGTGCTGTACGCAGTGGCTGTGGGTGTGTGTGCAGCGGTGGGTGTGAGTGTGGCCGTGTGCTCTGCAGTGTCTGTTGAGATGCCGTACACAGTGACTGTGCAGTGACTGTGGGTGTGTGTGCAGCTGCGGGTGTGGGTGTGGCCATGTGCTCTGCGGTGTCTGTTGAGATGTCATACACAGTAGTGTGGCTGCCCATGGCGTGTGGCAGGGTGTCAGGAGCCATGGCTGGGCTGTGGGTCAGTCCCTGTGCAGCTGTGTTGGGGGGTGGCCGGCCGTGGCCGGCTGGGGGGCTGTAGATGTGTCCCTGTATATGTTGTGTGTGGTTGTTTGTGTGCGTGTCCTGTGTGGAGCTGTGGGTTGGTCGTGGAGTAACAGGAGTGGCCTGTGTGGTGACCTGTGTCTGTTCCGCAGGGATACCCCCGGCCAGCGGCACCGGAACCCTCCAGATCTATCTCATTGACATCAACGACAATGCCCCTGAGCTGCTGCCCAAGGAGGCGCAGATCTGCGAGAAGCCCAACCTGAACGCCATCAACATCACAGCGGCTGACGCCGACATCGACCCCAACATCGGCCCCTACGTCTTCGAGCTGCCCTTTGTCCCGGCGGCTGTGCGGAAGAACTGGACCATCACCCGCCTAAACGGTGAGCCCGCCTTAGGCCACGGGGAGGGTCAGACCAGCCTGGGTTGCAGGCCCCTGGGAGACCCAGCTGGCCTTGGAAGAGTGAACACCAGAGGTGGGCGACGGCCCTCCAACAGGACTGTCCCACCAAGGCTGGGGACACTGGCCATGCTTCAGCTGCTCAGCCTTCTTCACCTGGCCCTGAGGAGGCCACCAAGTCATTCCCAATTTCTTGCTGCTTTAATGAGCCCAGCCGTGAACATCCTTGCAGCTCTGCCCATGTACATCCATGACAACTTCCTGTGCCAGTTATCCATGGACTGGACCCTGACCGATAACGTTTCCTTAGAATACTTCCTTGGATATGGATTTGTGGTATAAAAGGATATCAGAATTCTCAAGGTCTGGCAGTACGGTGAAAACGTGCTCTAGACATGTCTACTTCCATCGGGAGAGTGCCTGTTTTCTCAAACCCTACCAACACTGAACATTATTGTTTTAAAATAATATTGTATTCTGCTACCTTTAGGCCAAAGTCATTATTTCCATTTGTATATCTTGACTACCAGTGGAAATTTTTTTAAAATATTTATTGGCCATTTTTGTTTCTTCTGTAAATTGTCTGTTCAATGACTTTGCCTATGTTTTCTTTGGGGAGTTTCTTTTTATTGATTTGGTAAAACTCTTTATGTATTCAGGAAATTATTTCTTCATCCTACATGTTGCAATTGCTTTTTGGTCATGTCTCCAAGGCCTTTTTTTTTTTTTTTTTTTTTTTTTTGAGACAGAGACTCACTCTGTTACCCAGGCAGGAGTGTAGTGGCACAATCTCAGCTCTGCAACCTCCACCTCCCAGGTTCAAGCAATTCTCCCACCTCAGCCTCCCAAGTAGCTGAGATCACAGGCTCGTACCACACGCCAGGCTAATTTTTGTATTTTTTACTAGAGACAGGGTTTTGCCATGTTGACCAGGCTGGTCATGAACTCCTGACCTCAAGTGATCTGCCCACCTCAGCCTCCCAAAGTGCTGAGATTACAGGCGTGAGCCACCACACCCAACCTCCAATGTCTTTTAACTTAATGATGTGTGGTAACCAGACAGATATTTCAGATTTCCATGCCATTGGACTTAGTCTTTTCCTCTGGACGTCTTGCTTGGAAGGGAGGGCCAGGCTCTGGCTGAATGTTTACTGTTCCTTTGCACCAGGTGACTATGCCCAACTCAGCTTGCGCATCCTGTACCTGGAGGCCGGGATGTATGACGTCCCCATCATCGTCACAGACTCTGGAAACCCTCCCCTGTCCAACACATCCATCATCAAAGTCAAGGTGTGTCCATGTGACGACAACGGGGACTGCACCACCATTGGTGCGGTGGCAGCAGCTGGTCTGGGCACCGGCGCCATCGTGGCCATCCTCATCTGCATCCTCATCCTGCTGAGTGAGTGTGGCTGAGCACCAGGGTGGGTGGGGGCATTGCAGATATGAGTGCCCTGTCCCAGGGATGGTGGGCAGAGTGGGGCCTGGGTTTCACCCTCAGCCCGCATCTCTCAGCCTTATCTGTCAGGAGTCCTTCAGAAATGCAGTTGAACTGGTCCATATGACAATGGGAAATTGGAGCCTCCCATTACTCTCAAGTCTGGAGGTGCAGGTTGGCCCAGGCATCTCCCAAGGCCTGGCCCCTTTCCACGGCTCCACTCTGCTTCCCAGAGCCCCTGTGTCCTGAAGCTGTTGCCCTCCAGGACCTGCGACGCCTATGGGCAGCTCCCAGGTGGACTTAGCAGAGGGAAGGTCAGCCCTGCCTGTTAGCATCCCCATCCAAAGTCCCAGGACACTCTCTGATTGGACGGGTTTGGGTCACATACACACCTTGGAGCCAATCACCAGTCAAGGAATGGAGTGTTCTCATTGGCTCTGCCCAGACCATATGCTCTAGTAGTTTCCTGAGTTTCCCAGAACCACATGGGTTCCCCAGCAGGCCTGAGGGCTGGGGGGGTGCCAGGGGAGGTGCTTGAAAATGACCCCAGAGGTCCCTCTTCCCATCATCCCTCATGGACAGTCGCCCTGGTCTGTGTTAGCCCAGGGATCCCAGTGGGAGGCAGGACAGGGAAGGGTTCGGTCACCACCTCCCCAGTTCACACCCAAACCAGAGGGTCCCCCACCACGTCCAGAACAGGCTGAAGCAGGTGCCAGGCCCCTCCTGCAGATCTGGCCTGTAGCTGACTTAAGACCCCAGGGACCAACGTCAGCCCTGTCCAAAGGACGTCTGCGTTATGAGGACTCTGCTTTCTTCCCCATTCCCAGACCTATCACCCCTCAAAAAGCCGGTTTTTAATTCTGAGGCTTGTTTTGAAAGCCGTTCAGTGTCATGGGCTCCGTTGTATGATCAGGAGTGGAAAGAGCCCCACAGAGGTTGGGAAGAGTCTCCGTAGCAAAGGTGGGGTGTCCTCACCGACGCCCCCTGCTCTGAAGACACCGGGGCCAGGCCCAGCCAGAGGGCCCTCTGTGGGCAGGGCCGTGAGGCCTGATTCAGCCGGGTGCCTGGCCAGGGCGGGAGACCTGGGCCACTCGCAGTGGAGGCCAGCCACAGTGGGGCCGGGGCCAGGGTCAGCAGCAGATCCGCCTGCTGCCCGGCTTCTGTCCATTCGTGGGGACCTCAGCCCTGGTGGGGTGAATGGGGGTACCCGGAGTGGCCTCCCCTCCTCCACACTCCTTCTCTCAACGCTCGCTCATCTTGTCTGCCCGGATGAGTCTGGGGTGCCAGCTGTGAGAGTGGAGCTGACCCCTTCGAAGCTTCCGCTGAGCCAAGACTAGAGCAGGCTCCAGGTTCCAGGTTCTCACCGAGCCGCACCTGCAGCAGGTGGTTTCTCCCTCCGCCTGCCCTTCCCTCTCCACCATCTGGGCCAGGTCAGGAAGTATCCTCCAGCTGTCACCTCACCCTGCACAGGCAGGAGGGATGCCACCAGTACCCACAGAGCTCCTCCCAAGCCTCCGCTCAGCTTCAGAATCCTCCTCACGGCACTCAGGCAGCCACAGCCAGTTAATCGGGTTGGCAAAAAACAGCCCTCCTGATGGGGGGTCACCACCCCTCCCGCCTCCGGGCTCGCCCTCTGCAGTACATAAGAGCACACCTGTGACTTCTGGGCCTCAGCTGTTACATCTGTGACGTGGGAGGTGATGGGAGGCTTCGGGAGGATGCAGTGGAGTGGTTTGTGCAGACATTTACTGGGGGCGTGGGCCGCGTGACCTGCTCCTGGAGCCCATGCCCGGTGCATTGCCAGGCTTGCAGATGGGTGCGCCAGGCTCTTCCTGCAGCAGAGGCAGCCAGGGGTCCAGAGTGAGCAAGGCTGTTTAGGGGAGCCAGGCCTGGACACGGACCTCGGAAGGCAGGGGGAGGCCAGTTCAGCTTGGGGGAGAGGGTCCCCTCCATCCACCCCACAAGGGGGCTTTACCTCTCTTCAGTTTCCACATGCACCTGAACTTCTAAGCCTGTCCCCCAACTCCTCTGGGTGGTGGAAAGAGCCCCTCTGAGTGACCCCTTGGTGCTGGTTGGGGCTGCCCTTCTGTCCAGCAAAGCCCTGGACTGACCCCGCCCCAAGGGCCCTCAGGAAGCAGGATCCCTGGATCCCCTCTCTGGGCCCCTCTCCTCCCCTGCCCCCTCCCAGGGCGGAGCCTCTTGCAATATGGGGGAGTCCATCTCCCTCCCTCAGTGATTCCTGCCAAGACACTGTGTGCCTAAAACCTCACTTCCACCTCCTTTGCCAAAGCCGTCTCCCCTCCTGCTGCTCAGAAGAGGGACTCAGAAAGACTTGGGGGTGCACCCCTCAGCCCCCCATGTCCTCCTGCCCCCAGGCGGTGAGGGGCGCCCTGAGCTGGCTGCCTCCTCAAAAGGGGAGTGCAAGAGGAGGGCGAGTATGTAAATCAGTGTCTCAAAATGTAGCCCAGTGCGCAGGCAGTGAGCTGGGTAGAGGGCCTGAGCCAGTGCGGCTCTGCCTTGGAAACTCATGCACACACACACAGGCATGTACACACAACGTGGGCACACATGCAGAGACACGTGGGCACACATGCACTATGCACGTGAACACATGCTTGCACTCACACCCCATGAGCATACACAGACACACGAAGTACACATGAAGACATGCACAGACATGCACACACAGACCCATGCAGACTTCTGTGTGCACATACACACACAAACACACGAGCACACACATACACAGATCTACATGCTCGCACAGGCACACGCATGTGCAAGCCTTCATATACACATATTCCTGCGGATACATGTATGCATGGTTACACAGACATGCATGAAACATCTACATCCACAAATGTGCACGCACGTGGGCCGCACATGTGCACAGATGTGTGTCCTTGCACACCCAGGCCTGCATGTGCAGAGACACATGTGCGTGTGCAATACAGGTGTGCAAGCAACATGGGCACAGAGTCATGCCTGTGTGCCACCTGCATGCACATGCCCACACAGACACGTGGCAAACAGAGGCATGCGTGTGCACACATGCGGCACACCCACACACCCTGCTCACGGGCGGCCCTCCCCCGCAGCCATGGTCCTGCTGTTTGTCATGTGGATGAAGCGGCGGGAGAAGGAGCGCCACACGAAGCAGCTGCTCATTGACCCCGAGGACGACGTCCGCGACAACATCCTTAAGTATGACGAGGAAGGTGGCGGCGAGGAGGACCAGGTGAGACCATGGCCCGCCTCTGCCTCCCCACAGGAGGCCAGCTCTCACGTGTACCAGTGTCTCAGCAGGGCTTGCCCTCGGGTTTTAACAGTAAGACATTTCAACCCTTTTCACCAGTGAGGGCGCCAGGCAGGGGAGCAGTTTCCTAGTCCGACCGCCCTGCCCACGTTTGCATGTCTAGCCTGGGCTGAGCTGTGCACACTGCACCTGCATCCCCCACAGGGGATCCTGGGACCCCTCCCATCCTCTCGCCTTCCTCCCTCCCACTGCCAGCCCCTGCCCAGTGCTGCCCCATGCCCTGGAGGGGAGGGGGCTCTGGGTTGGCCAAGGATACCGATGCCCACTCACCTGATTGCTGCTGTGTGTGGGGTCTGTCGAGTGACCAGGGGCAGTGGCCCGGGAGGGTAGACTATGAGAGCTGCTGGTTGGAATCTGGGTCTGCCCTTGGCCTTTCAGGGAATCGGGGCAAGTCCTTAAACCCATCTAAAGTTCAGACCCCTCCCCACCCACAACACGACCATAACGAGTGTGAGGAACGTGCCTTGCGGAGACCCAGCTCCTGGCCACCTGAGCACGCGGGGCACATGGTCAGTGAGCAGCGTGGTGGTGGGGTCACTCGGGGAGAGCCCCAGGCCATGGAACACCGCCAGGCACAGCCCCCATCCCTGCTCAAGGGATTGGGGTGAAGGGCGAGGAAGTGGGGCATTGTGGAGGGGCACAGCAGGGGACAGCATGGTTCTGTGGGATGCTTGGAGACCAGGCCACAGGGCAGCGGGCAGCGGGCAGCGGGCGCATCTGTGGCCCAGGTCACAGAACAGGATGCAGGGCGGAAGAGGGGCTTGGCGGATTCTTGTGGTGCCCCTGACTCCTCCCGGCTCCCTCCTCCAGGACTACGACCTCAGCCAGCTGCAGCAGCCGGAAGCCATGGGGCACGTGCCAAGCAAAGCCCCTGGCGTGCGTCGCGTGGATGAGCGGCCGGTGGGCGCCGAGCCCCAGTACCCGGTCAGGCCCATGGTGCCGCACCCAGGCGACATCGGTGACTTCATCAACGAGGTGTGTGCCCCTCAGCAGTGGGGGGTCCCGGGCAAGGTGTCTCCTCTAAAACTAAAATTCTAGTAGCACACAAACAGCAGCCGTCTCCACAGTGCCGGTAGCCGCCATGGGGAGGAGGCGGCTCAGACCCGGGTTCCAGGCCCAGCCCTGCCCCTCCAGCTGGGTGGCCTGGGCAAATCACCTCCCCCAGCCGGCTCTCTTTCCAAGGACAAGGATTCCTACCTGTGAGCCAGGCGAAGGATCAACACGCAGGG